AATTAGTATTCAAAATACATAAGGAACTCAAACAACTCTATAGAAAGAAAAACAATCTGATTAAGAAATATGCAAAGCACCTACGAATAGATATTGTAAGAATAATCAAACTAACCAAAGCAATCTACAGATTCGTTGCAATTCTTATCAAAATCCCAATGTCATTTTTCACTGATAAAGAAAAACACAATCCTAAAAATGTATATGTAATCACAAAAAAACTCTGACTGGCTAAGGCAATCATTAGCAAAAAGAACAACGCTAGAGGCATTGCACTACCTGATTTCCATCTATATTGCACTACAAAACAGTAGTAATTAAAGCAACCTAGTACTGGAATAAAAGTAGACACATTGACCAATGGAAAAGAAAAGAGAAGACAGAAATGAAACCACACAGCTGTGGTCAATTGATTTTTGACAAAGGTGTTAAGAATATACAATGGGAAAAGAGCACAGTCTTCAATAAATGGTGTTGGGAAAACTGGATATTCATATGCAATAGAAAGAAACTGGACCTTATCTTACACTATTTACAAAAATGAACTCAAAATGGATCAAAGAAACATAAAACCTAAAAGTGTGAAAGTACTAGAAGAAAACAGAGGAAGAGCTACATGACATTGGCCTGGATGATAACTTTTTTAGATTTCACCTCAAAAGCACAGGCAAAAAGGCAAAAATAAACAAATGGGATTACATTCCAATAAAATGCTTATTTAAAACAAAGGAATTAACAGAGTGAAGACACACCCTATGGATTAGGAGAAAATATTTGCAAGCCATATATCTGGCAGAGAACTAATACCCAAGCTAAACAAGAAGTCAACTCTATAGAAAGAAAACAAATAACCTGATTAAGAAATAAGTAAAGGACTTTCGTAGATATTTCTTTAAAGAAGACATGCAAATGGGTAATAGATACATAAAAAATGTTCAGTATCCCTAACCATTAGGGAGATGCAAATTAAAACCACAGTGAGATATTACCTTACACCTATTAGAAGGACTATCATCAAAAAGACAAAAGACTAGCATTGGCAAGGATTGGAGAAAAGGGAGCTTGTGCACTGTTGGTGGAAATGTAAATTAGTGTAGCCATTATAGAAAACTGTATGGAGATTTCTCAAAAAACTAAAAATAGACTTGCCATTGCCATATGATCTAGCAATCCTACTTTTGGGTAATTACCCAAAGATTTTAAATTAGTATGTTGAAGAGATATCTGTACACCATTGCACCACTATTCATAATAATTAAGCTATGGGATTAACCTACGTGCCCATCAACAGATGAATGGATTTTTTTAAAATAATGGAATTTATGTACAAAAAAAATAGTATTCAGCCTGAAAAGAGAAGAAAGTTTCACATTTGGTTGAGTGTGGTGGCTCAAACCTGTAATCTCAGCTCTTTGGGAGGCCGAGGCAGCTGGACCACAAGGTCAGGAGTTCAAGACCAGCCTGACCAACATGGGGAAACCATGTCTGTATAAAAAATGCAAAAATTAGCCAGGCATGTCAACATGGATGGAATTGGAGAACATATGCTAAGTGATACACCAAACATAGACAGATACCACATGTTCTCACTGATATGTGGAATATAAAACAGTTGAAGTTATAGAAGCAGAGAGTAGAATGGTGGTTACCAGAGGCTGGTGGGTAGAGGGGTTGGGGAGATGATAAGCAAAGGGTACAAAGCCTAAGATAGGAGGAATAAGTCTGATTCTTTTTGAGATCTGTTGTGTAGCATAGTGAATATAAATAATACTTGAGTACTGTACATTATATCATTAAATATCCCCAGTGCTCTCATCACAAAAATGTCAAATATTTGAGGTGATGGATAGCTTTATTGCTTAACTTATGCTTCTTCCAATATTTTTTAAAGTATCACTTTGTATCTTATAACTATAATTTGTCAAAATATGATAAACTTAAAAAATATAGTGAGGAATGAAAAATAAAATGGCAAGACAAATACACAGTCTATTCTGCAAGTTTTATATAGGTGCTAAATGTGGCCCATGAATTTGTCTGTGGCACGAGCAGAAAGTAAAAAAGGATGAACTACAAAATTTATAATCACCAAAATATGGCATCAAGCCAGTTTTCAGAAAGGTCACATCTGAGTTTTGAGAGAAACATTTTATGTGTCCCTGCATTCTCAGAAGTGTGCTGTATTAGTCTGTTCCCATGCTGCTAATAAAGACATTCCTGAGATTGGATAATTTATAAAGGAAAGAGAAGTTTAATGGACTCATAGTTCCACATGGCTGAGGAGGCCTCACAATCAATGGTGAAAAGTGATGGAGGAGCAAAGGCACATCTTACATGGTGGCAAGCAAGAGAGCGTGTGCAGGGGGACTACCCTTCATAAAACCATGAGATCTCATGACACTTATTCACTAGTATGAGAACAGCATGGGAAAAACCCACCCCCATTATTTAATTACCTCCCACCTGGTTCCTCCTATAACATGGGGATTATGGGAACTAAAAGATGAGATTTGGGGTGGGGGACACAGCCAAACCATATTATATGCCATTGTAATTTTCATTTCATTCATTCACTTTTTATTTACTTATGCAATAATTATTTCTTGAACACATTCTGTTTGTTAGGATTGTGCTGTTTGCTTGAAGATAGAATAAAACAAAACCCATGTCTTACAGATAAGCAGGGTCTAGGGTAAAAGAATAATGTCTGTATCTTTGGCTTTCATCACTTTATGTTTGAGTGGGGAGTAAGAGAATATAATGACAGGCAAGAATGGACTTGGATTGAGGTTGCAGAAGATGAGGCCTGAAGGAGGATTTGAAACAAAAATGAAGCACTCATGTGAGCTGATAGTGCCTGGTCACAGAAACACCATTGATTCCTTTGACTTGACTACATCTATTTCTAACTACAATTTGTCATCAAAGGATACCTCTAGATGACCTGGACTCTGAGTTTGGGAGGCTCCTTGGATTCTTAGGGGATCATGTGGCTTTAGTGATAAAGGGAAGAAGGGTGGTAAGAGGATGCAAATTCAGTTGGTTTCAGAAAGGTTCTGAACTGTGTGTGTGTGTGTGTGTGTGTGTGTGTGTGTGTGTGTGTACACATGTATCTATCTCATCACCAACAGAGTGATATACGCCTGGCTGCCTGTCCAAAGATGACCCTTTCACCTCTGTAAATAACCCCTAAAAGCTGAACATAGACTTTTAAAATTGCTTTTTCTCCTTTCTCCATCCAGAATTTATCTAATTTATCTTGGTCTTTTTGGGCTATAACAAAATATCACAAACTGGGTAGCTTATACACAACAGAAATTTATTTCTCACAGTTTTTGAGGCTGGGAAGTCCAAGATCAAGATGCTGGGGGATTTGGCATCTGGTGAGGGCCCATTTCCTTTTTCATCTGTGGTGCCGTCTTGCTGCATCTTTACATGATAGAAGGGGCAAGGGAGCGCCTTAGGGCCTCTTTTTTTTTTTTTTCTTTTAGAGATAAATTCTCACTATGATGCCCACATTGGGGTGTAGTGGCTATTCATAGGTACAGTCATAGTGCACTGCAGCCTCAAAACCTTGGGATCAAGTGATCCTCCTACCCCAGCTTCCTTACCAGCTGGAACTACAGGTGCCACCATACCCATTTCTGGGACTCTTTTAGGGCCACCAGTCTCATTCACGAGGGCAGAGCTCTGCTTTCATGACCTAATCACTTCCCAAAAGGCCCCATCTCCTAATATCATCACTTTGGAGGTTAAGATTTCAACATATGGGTTTTGGGTGTACACAAATATTTAGACTGTAGCAGAGGGAAAGCAGGCAGAATAATTTGTCATAGTGGTCACAGCTCCTGCCCACTTATCATGGCTCTGTCTTTTGCCACCTTTAGCCAGAGCCCCTAGAGAGAGGAATGGTTCAAATTATAATAGTTGGGTCTAGTGATATGTCTGTGGCTGACTTTGATCACTTGGACATTCAGCCTGTGTTTCTAAGTGAAAATCATATCAAGAGTTATGTTTGTGTTCAGAGTTTAAAAATAAACAATGTCAGTCAAATAACACATTGTAAACCAAGAATAAAATTTTAAACTCCCCAACCATCTGAATGGAACCCTCCTCTCAGCCAAGGGCATTCCAAGGTTAACCTGACAAAGTAGCTCAGGCCGTAATGAGAAGTAGGAGCCGGACATGCCTCATTTGTTCCCTCTTCCCTTTTGTAATTGCTGATAGAATAGACTCTAAGTCTAATAAGAAACATTTGCAATTTATTCTCTCTGAAGCCCACTTCTGGAGGCTACATCTGCATGATAAAGCCTTGGTCTCTACAACCTCTTATAGTAACTCAGACATTCCTTGCTATTGATAATAACTCTCTCAACCAATTGCCAATCAGAAAATCTTTGAATACGCCTATAACCTGAAGCCCCCACTTCCAGCTGTCCCGCCTTTCTGGACTGAACCAGTGTGCATTTTACATGTATTGATTGATGTCTTATGTCTCCTTAAAATGTGTAAAACCAAGTTATGGCTCAACCACCCTGGGCACAAGGTCTCAGGATCTCCTGAGGGTTCTGTCCTGGGCCGTTGGTCACTCATATTTGGCTCAGAGTAAATCTCTTCAAATATCTTACAGAGTTTTTCTTTTAATTGACAGCATGATCCTGGCCTATGTGTTTCATTTTTAATTTGAAACAGTAGATGATATAGTGATCTTTTCTGGGCTGCTTTTGAGTAGAAAGACAAAGAAGAGCAAACTCATTTGGAAGCCTGGATACTACCCTTGAATTATTTAACAGGGTCCATCATATATAGTGGGGTTTGAAGGCTGTGTTGAGAAAGAAGCATAAAGGTTTGGGCATGCTCCTTTTAGAACAGCTTTCCCTTCTCTGGCAGTGATACTCTCCCCACCCGTTTTTCATGGAGTGTTGAGAAGTTGTCACGTCTCGAGTTTCCCGAGAGAACGCACACCACTTACTTTTCTTTGTCTTCGTTTCTTCTTTCAGTCCCAGCAGAAGTGCATCGTGATCTTTGCCCTGGTGTGCTGCTTTGCCATTCTAGTTGCACTGATCTTTTCAGCTGTGGACATCATGGGAGAGGATGAGGATGGACTCTCAGAAAAAAATTGCCAAAATAAATGTCGGTAAGAGGTAACAAACAAAAATTCTCTTTTAGGGGGTGGGCAAGAAATCCAAGGAGGGCCTTGAATAATGGAGAAGAAAATACAAAAGCACACATAGTCATCCAGGCTCCCCTTGGCTTAAGCTGAGGCGTGAGTCTGTCCACTGGTGCTCTTACTTTTAGCCCAAGTGCTGAGTAATGATTGAAATCACTTTACAATCTGGTCGCATTGTCTACAGGCTGGTGGGAAACAAAATGAAATTTTGTTTGTCAGAGTGGTCACAGCTGCATTTCTGGAGACCACCATCTATGAGGTTTTGGGTGTTCCGTGATAAGCCTGGCAAAAATGAGTGCCCCAAAGGGCAGAGCACGCTGTGCCGGTTGTTACATCAAATGCAAGTTAAAAAAAATACACGCCTCAGGGAAAGTTCCAACTTAAAGTTAGGGGTTAAAGAAGTACACATTTCAATGAGACAGGGCTCGTCGACCTGTCCCAATTTAGTACATGGTTTGTTTTTAATGTAGAAACTACAATAACTTGACTGTTTTATGTATGCATTCTGCCTCTTCAGTTACTTTAGCATTTCCTGGGGGCCATTGTTGACCAGCAGAGACATCACATCATAGTCTCAACCCTGTGCATCTCCTCATCAAACTCTTCTCTGAGCTGCTACCATTTTTTTTTTTTTCAGTTTCGGGGAGGGTAAGGAAAAGTACCAAAAGCAGGCAGATAGATAAGAGGTCTATTTTTATATATGTATTGCTGCAAAGCTGAAGTGAGGACACTAAATTACAACGGTCATTATGAATTAGAGCTTGTAATCAATTTAAATTGTTATTTTTCCCTGTGGAAAGCATTAACCTAAGACCCCCCACTTTCCTAGCTTAAAATCAACAACAACCTGGTAATGTGTATGCGACTTTTATTCTGGATATTTTGCTTTGAGGTTGACTGTTCTGGCACAGGAAATGTTCTGAAAAGACAATTGGCTTTTTTTTTTTTAACCCATGATACCTTAGAGTCTAGTTACCAAGCAACAGGCATTATATACAGAGCAGAGCATACAAGAAAGAAGTCAATACACATTTTAGATTTTCTTCCTTCATGTTAGAAAGGTATTCCACAACATTATGTAGCCAGTTCTTAAATTGGCTGACTCCTGGTTTTACCCATCCTTGTCCCCAGGGCAGCCTCAGCCATTGGTCCAGGCCCTGCTAAGTCTGCAGGGAGAGTGGGTCCCAGAGTTGTTCAGTTTCAGGTTCCTCCAGGTGGTCATGGAGGTAGAAGAGGTGAGGCTTTCGGAGATTCACCGTTGAATATTCTGGTGCTGACACAGACCGGTAGGAAAATCCACTGGTCTGCGGAAGTTCTCAGGCTTGCCAGTCTCAACTTAAACCTTTCTCTGGAAGATAATTCCTGTCCTTCCTCTCATGATCTCACCCTTTCCTGGAGCTACCTGGACTCCTTCCCAGACTTTACCTAAAGGCGGAGCTAACTCTATCCCATGATGCTCAGTTTCCAGTGACTTTGTACTGAAGTCCAGAGTTCTCTTTCCGCTTTTCTCCTTGTGTGTGACCATCATAAAGTGCTGCTTGCTCCATTCAACCTCTGCTGAGATGTTACTACACTATCATTAAACTCCCTCTGTGTGGGTGACGCTCCTCACTCCTGAAAGTTGGAAGAAGATCAACATTTACAGCTGTGGGCATCTCATCACAGTTTTGACAGTCTCTCCCCAGGACCTCTTCATCTGGTGTACTCTTTCTTAAATACAGTGCTTTAATTCATCTTATTTCTGCTAACTAGCCTTTCTATCCTCTAATAAGGTTCCCATTCTGATTCTTTCTGACTTGTTTTATTTCTCCCCCTCCTTTATATTATTTTGCTACTAGATTACTGTACTAATAGTGGATAATTTTATCATGATTTCCCACACAAATCTACAAAATATCAAAGGCTCCAAACTTATTTTCCAAATGCCTTTTAATGAGCCTCAGTTGTAATGCCCCAAAAATAAGATCTTTGATCTCAGCAAATAACTGACCTATTTGTTTGTATCTTTGTACTGGATTTCTGGGCACTTCATACCATTTCCCAATATGTTTTAAATGATTGATTTGGCCTTTATAACTTTAAATCTTCTTGACACTTGATTACCTGAGAGGGTGAAAGACACATTTTCTGGTTTCTGCTAGTAACCTACATGTCAGCAGGCTGAGGCATCACTGGTAGGTAAGGAAAGCTCAAACTGCTAGTTTAGGTTGCACACATCCTGTGACTTGGCCCTTTTGCAATTCGCTAGTGCCGCTAATTATCATCGTACCTCATTCTTGTGAAAGGTAACCACGCGCTGTGAAGTTTTCCACACATCATGTCCTCAGGGACCAGCAGAGACATTGGATCTGAGCTCCAAGTGCTGCTCGATTGCAGAACACCTGCCCTCACGTGAGCACCCACCCTTTCAGAGGAGAGGTCTTCATTTTGTATACATAGCTGCTTCTATCTTCCCTTCCCCCCCCACAGAGGCATCCTACGTCAGTCATTTTCAGTTACTACTCCCCCGCTTATTAGAGACACTATTAGACACTCACTAAAAGAGGGACTTTTGTTACCATTCCTCCCTGATAAATACACACAGAACCAGTCAGCATCCTTCTCCCTGACTTCAGACCCAATTCTCATGACAATATGGGAATTAATTTCTGCAAAGTATCATTAAGCAAGCTGAGTATACATACAATCTTGGATTGGCTAACATTGCCATATTGATGAGGATGTGTCGTCTATTTTATCTAGGTAATTATGGCAGCCCCTGCTCCTGGACCTCCTCACACTCACCTCTCATCTTCCTAAATCAGCCCCCATGCCCGGGTGACTACTAGTCTAGGTTGGCTCACTCTTGCCCACATATCTTCACATTCATTTTAGCTTGCTCACTTGGTCTGAAATACGAAGGAAATGGAAGAACTCAGTGTATCCATCTGTATCTCTGTATCTTGGTTTCTATCTCTAACCTATCTAATCCCCATTATTCCTGAATCCAGGAATTTTCTTTCATCCTAAAATGAATAGATTTGGGTCTGTACAAAGGGGATCCCATGTAATAATATAGGTGGAGTCACCAATGTATAAATTTTCCATAGCAGTTCTCCTAGATCACCAAAGTTTGGTCACAGAAAGTACTGCAAGGACCAGACTCACTTTGTAATATACCACCCCTTCACACAGAGACTTTTTATACATCCTTTCTAAATTTTCAAGTTTCTCTATTAAAAAGCTGACTTCTCTACTTTACATTTTTCACATACTTTATTTGCTAAATCTCTTCCTCTGACCTAACATTTCTTTCTTAAAATAAAAAAATCTACAGATGTGTAGATTAATATGAGTAACTCAGCTGCAGCTTCAGCATAGTACACACATAAGTTGGTTCGTCGATAATATGACATTCCTAGAAGACAGTATTGAGAGACCACTTTATGTGTTGACAATTACCTCCTAGTATTTTGTCACTTTCCTGTTTAAATCCATGACCTTAGAGCAGTCTTGACGATTACCTCCTAGTATTTTGTCACTTTCCTGTTTAAATCCATGACCTTAGAGCAGTCTTAACAGACTCAACTTGCTCCAGTGGACTTTAATCATTGTTTGCCCTTTTCTTTTTCTTTT